AGATGAGAACTTAAACGCTGATTCAGCAAGGTCCTTCCCACGACCTTTGGTGGTCGGGTAACCCCAGCGCGTCCCCACGGCCCGGCGGACCAGGGCACAGGAACATCCCATCTCTGAGGAGTGGGGGGGTGACATGCGCAGGACGCTCCAGCCGGCCAGCAGACCCCGCTTCCTGCCCCGCTTCCTCCCCGACACAGGGGTCTCCTGCGAGGTTTGGAAAGCAGGAAACACACAGGCCAGTGGGAAATGAATCAGTCCAAAAACCACTCTCTGTTACTTTTTAAATTCCTTAGGAAGAGGCAGCACAGGGTTGCCAAAAGCCAGAGAGCCACGTCTGCCTGGGCTGGGCCCGGGAGTAGCACTCTGGCCTCCCCTGGACTCCGCGGCCTCGTTCAGGGAGCCTGGCATCCCTTGAGTTCATCTAACAAAGCCGCATCCCGGAATGCTGGCCAAAGGCTACGCGGCGAACTTCAGAACTAGGAACGCTGGAGCGCCGCCGGTAGCCTCAGCCTGACCCTGCGGGCCCCAGAGCCCCTGCTGCTCAGTGATCACACCCCCAGATGCAACACAAACCCCGTGCCCCAAACGTGAGGTGCTCCTAGCCATAACTGTTCCTTTTTCTTCCCCAAAAGGAAGCCAGAGTCTATAGCACATTACACACTCCTACACACCTCACCGAGAAGGTTCCAGAACATGCCTGCATCCCAGACACAGAAGATGGAGGCTGCCTAGCAAGTCGGAGGACCGAGTGGGGAAGCAGCACTTTCTTCTGGTTCCCAGGACGGCTGCCCCCGCCCCGTCCTCTCCGCCCGGGCCAACCCCACACCACCACCCTCACGTCCTGCCTGCCCCCTGGGAGCGGGGAAGGGGCTGACGCTTCCAGACCACGAGCCTGGGGTTTGGGACACGGCACTTGGCAGGGCAGCGTCAGGCTCAGAGCAGTCTCGAGCTGGGCCAGGACGTCTGTCGGGACATGTCTGTGTACCTTCCGCGCACAGGAGTTGGAACAGTAGGGCAGGGAACAGCAGGTGAGAAGTTTATAAAACTACAAAAACCCTTCAACGAGCAAAAGCAAACACAACAAAGTCACAAATAACAACGGAAACCCTCTGGTACTTCAATTCCCCAAATGGCAAGGCTGACTCTCCCAGCACCGGGGGAGCGAGGGCGGGTTAAGTGATAAGTGATCACCTCCACAAGCCACCAGAGAAGCCGTCACAAATGCAAGCGTGCGTCTGGCGGTAGCAGACGTTGTTAGGAGAAAACCACCCAGCCGTTCTGTGGGGCGCCTCTGGCTTCAACAGGCTACCTGCTGGAGACACGTCTGCCACTCTGGGAATCTCCCCGCAACAGTCGTGTGGTCTCCGGGTGTACACGACGGCCATCTGCCCATCTCCTCGTCCCAACAGCTGCCCGGTGGCCACAGACCCAGCAGACAAGATGCCCTCAAGTGTCTGCCCACAGGCCGTGCTGCACAGGGCTGCAGTGAGCGGCTCTCTTGTCAGGCCCACCCTGTCGGACCCCCACGCAAGCTCCTGGGGGCGTCTCTCAGCCAGGAAGGTGACAGGAGACAGACACAAAGGCCCTCTCGGTCAGGCTCTGCGTGCGAGCAACACGAGCCGGCCACGCGTTCCGAGGCGGCGCTGAGACGGCCGGGACAGAGGGAGCTGGCGCTGGGCGGCCTGGCCCAGGAGACCACCCGGGCACGCACCACCGATCCACCTGAGACCACTGGTGTGTGTGAATCTGCCTGTTTCTGGAGGGCAGAGTTGGACACAATCACCCTGTGAGGTTCAAGGTTGGCGCCACAGGCAGGGTAGGAAGTGTCCATCTGGCAGTTTCCTTTCCATCTTTGACAAACCAACCGGCCTGACTTCTCGGGGACTTTTGATGAACAACCGGACAGCTGGCTGCGGGAAACCACAGCTGCCCCAGCCTCGGACACTATTCTTCGGGACACAAACGCGCGCTCGGGTTGGGATCTCTGCCACAGGAACCCGGAACAGAGACCTCAGTGGGGGGAAAGGGGTCGCCCTGCAGGCCACAGCTCTGCAGACCCAGGAAGGGGCCACGTGTTTCCGACACGCACATTTCATCCCAAGCTAAATGAGGCCACCGCGCTACGCGTTGGCTTAACCAATTGACAAACTTCGCTCCCCAGATGCCAACAACAGAAGACTCTGACAGCCCTGTCCTCACCAGGAAAGGACAGGGAGGGAAGCCCTTTGGTTCTGAGGCAGAAACAAATGCTAGACTCTCGGTGACAACGCAGAGTGGACGGTGGGGATGGAGGACCGCTCTGCCGGACCCACGCGCAGTCCCGCAGGTGTGGCTGCTGTGTCTGGCCCGCGGAACTCTGCACCCCTCTGCTCTGCCCCAGGCTCCTCACTCTGCTGTGAGCTGAGGGCCAGTCCGGCCCTCGTGGGGATGACCCAGTGTCCCAGCCACACGCTGGCTGAAGACAGAAGCTTCCATCACAAGGCCAGGACTTTGCACCAGAACCTACAGGGCCAACTCCCAAGAACACGTGTGTTGGCATATAACATGCACACTGAACACCCCCGGCATGGGACGCAGCGCCGAGGGTCACAGAGCCTGGAATGAGGCAGAGGGGGAACTCACAGGAAAGTGGGGACCGTGCCCTCGAGCCACACAGTCTAGAAAATATAACAAACTGAAGCGAAGAAGAAAGTGCAGCCCCTCTCCCGGCTGAAATCATATTAAAGGAGGAAAGAACTACAGGAAACACAGCTGCAACCAACAGTGTCAGGAAAAGCATAAAAGCCCTCGGGGAGACGGTTACTCGGTCCCAGCTACAGCCGGGACCCAGCGACAGCTTCCTCCGTGGAATTCCAAGTGGGGAAGCCCAGCGAGACCCCCCCGAGGGAGGGGCCTGGGTACAGAGGAGAGGGACACGGGAAGGGGACTGTGAGCACGGCTGTCTGTGCCTGGAGTGTGAGGGGGCTCCACTGCACCTGCTTGCAGGGGGACGCTGGGGGGCAGGTGGACGCGGCACCTCACGCCCTTCTGTGTCACCTCAATTCTGAAGCCTGTGATTATGTTAAGTCTTTACAAAACCACATTAACATTTTTAAATAAGAAAAAAAGCTGCTATCCAAGAAACTCTTTAAGAATAAAGTAGAAGAAAAATAAAAAATAAAAGGAACAAGCCCTCCCAGATCCCGAGTACCACACTCGTCTAGAAGGCACCTGGGAAGCCCAGGCCCCGAGAGCCGAGTCTCACCCAGGCCGGCATAGGTCCTCCGCTTGGTCAGGCTGGCGGACTTCACCAGGAACATGCAGGACTGGTGCGTCATCCAAGAGCAGAACGCCAGCAGCAGGGCCCCCAGGACGATGCCACACTGGAGGGTGGAGAGAGAGAGAGACAGAGACGTTCACAGCCGCCAACACTTGCAGGTCTGCCTCTCGCGACAAAGAGCATGTGCGTGACTTCTGCTTCCTCCGCCCGTGTGAACACCAGACCCAGCCCTGGCCCGGCCTCCTACCTACGCAACACCTTCCAGCACCAGAAAGGCCCATTCCCCTGGTGAGGCGGACACACACTTCACCCAGCGACACAAAACCCTCGTGTGACACTGGGGAGCACCGGGGCTCCGCCTCCTTCCTGCCCCTGCTCGGGTCCAGATGGGTAGCAGGGTGCTGCCACCAGCCAGTCCCCCGTTCCGTGTCCCCTCCTGCAGGCACCACCTTTCAGCCACGTGGATCAGCAGCTAGGAGGGGTGAACACTCTCCAGAAGGAGGAGATTAAAAGTGACGTTCACACTGTTCTTACAAGTCACACAGACACTCACCGTGTGACCCAGCAACTGCACTCCTAGTATTTACGCAAGAGAAATGAAAACATGTGTTCATGCACAAACCTGTAGGCCAACGTTTACAGCAGGTATATCCACGACGCAAAAACCGAAAAAACCCAAATGTCCTTCAACAGGTGAGTGGATGACACGCTGCGGTCCCCCCACACGACGGAACGTTATTCAGCAGTAAGAAGGGCCCAGCGACCGACTCCTGCAGCGACACGGATGCGTCTCCAATGTGCCGTGCTGAGTGAAAGCAGCTGGACTCAGACGGCTACAAACTGTGGGATTCCGTGTACAGGACATTTGAAGAAGCCAAAACCATGGGGCCAGAGGACAGTTCAGTAATGTCGGGGGCGGGAAGAGTGGCTGATGACAAGGGGCACAAGGGGACTTTCTGAGTGATGGAATGTTCTGTGTCTGGACTGTGACGGTCACAGGACTGCACACATACATCAAAACCCACCAGAACCACACCCTAAAATGGGTGTCATTGCACGTGAACTGTATCTCAGTAAACCTGACGTTTACAACACGGATGCCCCCACGCTAGCGCAAGGCGTCAGGAACGGGAAGCCCCAGGAGAGGGGGGCCGTTGGGAACTCTGCACTCGCCACCCTATGGCTCTGTAAACCTAAAACTGCTCAAAAAAATGAAGTCTATCAACTAAAAAAAGCCCCACAATGAGATACCAGCACTCGCCGGAATGGCCCACATGCAACTGACACATGACATCAAACGCTGCCACGGCTGCGCATGGACCAGACGGTGCTGGCAGGAGCGCGCCCAGGCAAGTGTGAAAAGATGCCCGGTCATCCTTACGGGCTCTGGCAGGGGCCCCGTGGCACCACACAGCAGGCGGTCCAGGTCTGGAGACAGCTGAATCGCCTGGGCCCTAAAACATGTTTTCCGCAGTGTCTAAACCAGAGCCCCATCCACGGTGGCACCTCACCGGCAGGTGTCCAGGAGAACAGCATTTGACTAGACGCGAGCCCAGCCAACACTCCACATCCAGGATGCCTTCTGCTCCCTGGACTCGTTCCAGAAACGCCCAGAAGGGGCTGGCACAAAGCTAGGGTTCTCGATGTCCAGACCAGATGTTGCCGCAGGGGCTCTGGAGACATCAGCCCTGTCTTTCCGCCTACACACTCACCAACCACATGGGACAAGCAACGCACACAGGAACCCTAAGAAAGCGCTCTCACCCAGGGCAGGCTGGAAGGCTCTACGTGGGGGATCAAGAATTCCCATATTAAAAAAGGTTTTTTTGATACTTTTATCCTGAAGACGCTAAATATGAAAAACAAAGTGTCTGTTAATCTGAAATTAAACTACTGGTATCCATTTTCCATTTTGAAATATCCACCCTGTTTTCATTTTTCTACCTATATGGTTTCCTCAGACAGGACTGGCAGCTGCACTGTGCCTCCTCAGCAGTCCCCACCCCGTGCCCTCCGGGAGGTCCTGCTGCCCCTTGGCACTCTCTAGTGGGCAGCTCCTCCCCCATGCGGGGTCGGGGTGGGGGGGACAGCACACATGATGCTGGGGTGGGCATGTTCATTTCTTTTTTTTTTTTTTGAGACAGAGTCTCACTCCGTTGCCCAGGCTAGAGCGAGTGCCGTGGTGTCAGCCTAGCTCACAGCAACCTCAAACTCCTGGGCTCAAGCGATCCTTCTGCCTCAGCCTCCCGAGTAGCTGGGACTACAAGCATGCGCCACCATGCCCGGCTAATTTTTTCTATATATTTTTAGTTGTCCGATTAATTTCTTTCTATTTTTAGTAGAGACGGGATCTCGCTCTTGCTCAGGCTGGTCTCGAACTCCTGAGCTCAAACAATCCGCCCGCCTTGGCCTCCCAGAGAGCTAGGATTACAGGCGTGAGCCACCGCGCCCGGCCCATGTTCCTCTCTTAAGATAGACTCTCAAGGAAAGAAGTTATCCAATTTGACGTTTCCACCAGCCTTCATTTTCCAAAACACGGATGCCTGTTTACATGGATTATTTACACAGAACCCACTTAGAAACGGCCACTTTCTTTCCTGTGGTACTCGATGTCGGAATAACACCAAACTTCTTTGTATATTAGATTTTTCCAGCTGAGGTAAAATTTGCACAGATCCGATCAAATCTGCACAGTTTTGTGAAACGCAGACCTTAGGTGTACGCGCTGGTGAATGTTCTAATCACCTTGTAACCAATGACCCAACCTAGCTTTGAGGCCTGGGAGGGCTGACTTGTGTGCTTCTGAAGACAAGCACAATCGTGGCAGAGTTTTAAAAAATAATAGGATAAAATAAAATAATACTGAACCCTCGAGTTGCTGTTCATTTTCGGAAGACGACTTTGCTTTGGTACACTGGGCCCTTCCGTACGAAGTTTCTAGCCCTGGCTGACAGGCGCTGCCGGCGCCAACTCCGTGTTCCACGGAGGGATTCTTTCTGGGACTGTTCCTGCCTGGCAGGCGCCCGAGGACGAGGACGCCGCTGTCCGGCCCGCTGTCCGGCCCGCCACCCGGCCCTAGCGACACCTCCCTGCTGGGCAGAGGCTCGGAACGGGCGAGGCCGGCAAGGCGCTCCCTCCGCGGGCCCGCCGGACTCACCTGCTTGAAGCAGAAGGGCATGGTGAGCACGCTGACCCCCACTATGCTGTTCACGATGTTCGTGATCAGCCCCCAGTTGGAGGCGGCGGCAGCCGTCATGGTGACGGGGCTGAGGGCCCGGGACGGGATGCCTCGGGGGTCGCGGGGCCACGGACGCGGGCCCCGAGGTCCGGGACGCGGCGGGCGGGGGCGGGAAGGGCCGGGGGGCTGCCTGGAGGAGGCAGCCTCGAGAACGGGCGGCGGGGCGAGGTCAACCTCCAGACCGCGCCAGGCCCCGCGGCCGCCGCAGAGCCATGCGTCCCTCGCCCTCGCTCGGCCTCGCGGGCCGCCTCCGAGTCTCCGAGCCCAGACCCGGAAGAGCCGCGAAGTACGGGATAGGGACACCTCAGCTGCTCCCAGCCGCCTCCCCGAGCACACACTTCCGCCTTCCGCTGTTCTCCTGCCGGAAGTGGCGACCACAGGGGCGGGGCTCGGCGGAAAGACAGCCAACTGGAGCCGGGCCCGGAAAGGCTGGCGGGGCCGGGCGGAGCCTACCAGGGACGGGGCGGGGCTCGGCGGGACGCGAACCAGTGAGAGGCGGGGCCTGGAGGCACGGGGCGGGGCTAGGGCCGGGCGGGGGCGGGGCCGTGGTGCACCTGCCGGAGCGCCGCGCTGGCCTGCCCGCCCGGCCGGCTTCTTCGCCGGCTTTGGCTGCGGCTGGAAGATAAGGGGCTCACTCCGCGGCGAGAGCTGGCGAGCGACGGGCACCGCGCCTTGCAGAGCGGGCGGGGTCTTGCGGGTTGATTCTCGGCATTTGCCTCGCTGCCGATGCGGGGCTTGCGCTCGGCGCCCGAGCGCGAGAGGCGGGGCCTTGCGGGGCTGGAGAGTTAACCGCGGCTGGGGAGGCCCTTAGCCCGCTGCGCGGATGACACGCTGGTCCGAGGATGTGCTTCCCAGGCGGGCGCAGTGGGGCAAAGGCAATGCTGCCAGGGGACAGGAGAGGCGGAGAGCTCTGTGAGCAGAGAAATCTGGGAAGGCTTCAAGGAGGAGGAGGCGTCTAGGCTGGGGTTTGAAGGACAAGTGAGAATCCTTCAGGTAGAAATGGAGGTTGGGAGGGAGCAGAAGAGGGGCCCTGGTTCATCCGTGAATTCCTGGCACCTGGCGAATGCTCACCAGGAGGCTGCCTAATGAATCGATAGAGACAGGAGGGCTTCTCAGGAAGAAGCAGGTGATTCCAAACTGGCTGGAGCTGTGCATAGGCAGAATTAGAGGCTGCTGGGAGAGGACCTCAGCAGAAACGAGGCCATGTTTGCAGGCACATGCGGGATCTGATGTCCTAGAGCAGAGGCTGATTCCTCAGGCACTAGGCAGTGCCGCCACTGGCTCGGACGCTGTCGCACCCTCAGACAGGAGAGGAACAGGAGGGAGTGCCAGGGAAAAGGATAATTAAATGCAAAGCCAAAATAATAAATGCCTGCATTCATAAGTTGTATATAGATGAAACCATACATACATTCTATAACCTGCTTTTTAGTGATTACTTAATTTTTATGAAATATCATGCATGCAAGAGAGGATGTGAAACCTAAATGTATGTTTTAACAAATAACAAATGGTCATGGACCCGCTATTCAGCTTTAAGAACAAAATATCAGCAGAAACTTAGAACTCCCTCCAAACTGAGACAGCCCCTTACAAGATTCACCATGATATTGCGTGTGCTCAGTCGTTCCCTCTCAAGCCTCCGTGGGATTCTATTGTGTAAATAGCCCAGAATATACATCCCTTCTCCCGCCGAGGGCACCGGAATTGTCTCCAGTCATTTGCCATCATAAACAGTGATGTAGTGAGCATACTTGTCTCCTTAAGGTATATTTGTTAGGGTTTCTCTAGAGTAAATGCCTAGAAGTGGAATTACAAATTCAAGTGTAAGCATACGTATGACTTTACTACATATTGCCAAATTGCTCTTCAAAGTACCTGTAAGAGTTCTTCCCAGTTTACATCAAACGTTGGCAAATGTTTTCTGTAAAGAGTCAGTTAGTAAATATTTTCTGAAGGCCAGGTGCAGTGGCTCACACCTGTAATCCCAGTACTATAGTAGGCTGAGGCAGGAGGATCGCTTGAGGCCAGGAGTTTGAGACCAGCCTGGGCAACATAGTGAGATCCCTGCCTCTATAAAAAATTTTAATACTAGCCAGGTGTGGTGGTGCACGCTTGTAGTCCCGGCTACTTGGGAGGCTGAGGCAGGAGGATTGCCTGAGCCCAGGATTTGGAGGATGCAGTGAGCTATGATTGGGCCACTGCACTCCAGCCTGGGAAACAGAGCAAGACCCTGACTCTAAAAAAATAAAATGATAAACTAAATAAATAAAAAGTAAATATCTTCTGTTTTGCAGGCCATATATCTCTGTCACACTATTCAATTTTGCCATTACAGGTTGGAAGCAGCCATAGACAATACATGAACAAATGGGTGTGTCTGTGTCCCAATAAAACTTTATTTACAAAAACAGCAGCTGGCCCAGTTTGGCCTCAGGGCTGTGGCTTTCACCTCTGCTCTAGTTGTTCCCAACATTTGGCCAATCTGGTGAATAAAATGGAATCTCATCATGGCTTTAATTTGTTCACCCTAATTACAAATGAGGTTAATTGTTCATATTTTTATTGTCCATATTTCTTACGTGAAAAGCTGTTCATTTTTGCCCATTTTTCTATTCAGCTGTTTGTTCTTATGAACTTCGAGGAGTTCTATGTGCTTTATAACTAACCGTGTGTCCCTCAGGTTGGGTTTATCCGATGTCTCCTCATTGTGTTACTTTCCATTGCTTTTGTAACAAATTACTGCAAACCACGCAGCTTAAACAACGCAAACTTACTGTCCCTCGATCTGAAGGTCAGAAGTCCCTGTGGATCTCACTTGACTAAAATCAAGGTCTTGGCAGAGGCTCCAGGCGGAATCCGTTTCCTGATCCTTCGGTTGTTGGCAGAATTCAGTTCCTCCGGTTTGCAGGACCAAGGTCTGTGAACTGAGGCTGTGACCAGCTTCCAAAGGCCACCTCCTCCCTGCCCGCACCTTCGGAGCCAGCCACGCTGGAGAGAGCCGAGTCCCTCTCGGGTCATATCCTTGACCCGGCTGAGGGAAGCTTTCCAGTGTTACAAACTCATGGATTAGATTGGGCCGCCCAGATAATCCAGATAATCTCCCATCTCAAGATTTGTAGCCTTAATCGTATCTGCGAAGTCCCTTTGCCATGTAAGGTCACAGAGTCGAGGTTCCGGGGACCGAGGGGTGTGTGCTCTTAAGGGCCACGATTCTGCCAACCACCCTCATGACAAGGGTCATGTTGTGTGTCCTTGTCATAGAAGGATGCCTTTGTTTCACTGAGTCCTATCAGGTGTGTGGTGTGTCTAGGGCGTGTGTGTGGGGTTTGTCCGTGTGTGCGTGTGCATGGTGCGCGTTTGGAGTGTGTGCGCTGTGTGAGGGGTGTATGCAGTGTGTGTGTGCATACTACACACTCCAAGTTTCTTCCTGCGTCCGGCTGCACGCACTGACACACGTGCGCTCACGCCGACACCTCCAGCTGCCTGCGGAGGCCCCAGGGCTCACCCTGGCCTCCCTTCTGCATCTGGGCCTCCCTCACCGATGCTCTCCCACCTCCCTCGGGCTCCTCCAGGCCCAGCTGTCCCCAACCCTGCCTGGAGGCCCCCGGCACCCCTTGGCTTGCCGCTGCTCTGGGACACCTACTGCTGGAGTGGCCACCCCAAAGGCAGCACCTTTCCACTGGCTCACTGGCGATGACAGCCGTGGGCACTGGGGAAAGGTAGGTGCAGAGGGCGCTGCCTCTGGGTGCTGGACTCTGGGCGGGTCTCTGGGAACCTTGGTCTCCAAATGCATGGGGCTAAGGCCCACCCACGCATCTGTGCTGAGGGTCCTGTTTATCCCACGCTGGGCACGGACGCGGCACCTGCCTCCCTAGGGCTGAGCTGGGGCCGTGCTGGGCTTCTCCATGGCCCCCTCCCCTCCCCTCTCTCTGCCCCACCCAGACCCTCACAGAGGAAATGCAGGGCCCCAGCCTGTGGTCATACCTGCGCAGGAGCTAGGGCCCTGCCTGGGGGCCCATCCTTGCTCTGAAAGCCACCCCTAGAGGGATTTTCTCGGTGCTCAGGCCTGTGTGTGGCCCCTGGTGGCTCGCACTCTAGGACGAGGGCTGGGGGCTGAGGCCCAGGGTGAGGAGGCCGTGCGCCCAGGCAGCTCAGAGGGTCAGGGCAGGAGGAGAGGGTGGGGCTCCTGGGCTGAGCCGGCCTGGAAGAGCCACAAGGGCCAGCAGGACCGGGGTGGGCTGTGGGGTCCTTTGATGCTTTCTTGCCAGTCCCCCCCTTCCCTCACCTCCAGGGCTTCTCACTGGAGCTGGGGCAGCCACGAGACCCGCAATTAGAAAAACCTCTGGCAGCGGCCCCACCTCCCCCAGACCTACTGTCCCGTCCTCCAGCACCCACCGCTCGGGGCCTGGGAGACAGAGGAGGCTGGAAGCCCAGCAGGCAGGCCACAAGCAGCCCACCCTGCTACAGACCGCCCCACCCTGGGCCACGTGCACCTGGCAAAAGCCGGACACACTGACCCAGCCTGAGGGAGTCCGGTAGCCAAGGAGGGCAGGTGGGAGTCAGGACTCCCCCGCGAGGTGGCCGTGGGATCCAAGGAGGAGGGAGCCCAGGAGGGCCTGCCCAGCCTGCCCTCCGCCCTTCCCTGGAAGGCAGGAAGCAAGAACAGGGTGCTGGGCAGGGGCGCCCAACATGGCCTGGCCCCACACCTGCCCTCTGCCATCCCTGGAACCTCTCTGGGGGACCTCGTGGGTGGGGCTCGCCCCAGGCCGCCTGGTGGGGGTGAGGAAGGGCCAAGGGGTATTTTCCACAAGGAATTTAGAAACCGCTGTCAGTAGAGCTGTCTGTGCCGCCTCCCCTGCCCCAGAGCCCTGGGCCCCCATCCCACCTCCCCGCTAGCCCACCCCTGAGGGCCTGCGCCTCCAAGGCGCTGTTGGACCTCCGCACTCACCTTCCCTCCCTGCGTGCAAGGGTGGGCTCGTCCCCCAGCTTCTGTGTCTAAGCCCTGACGTCCAGGACCTCACAAAGGGGCCTTATTTGGAACGAGAATCATTGCAGATTTGGTTAATTAAGACGAGGTCCCATTGCAGTGGGTGTCCTTACGAGGAGGGGAGATTTGGCTGCAGGCGTGCACGGGGACGGCGCGGTGCGGAGACGGGGCAGACGGGGGTGACGCAGCTACAGGCCAGCGCATGCCGAGGATGCCGGCCGCCGCCAGAAGCCACATTCCCCTCACAGCCTCACAGGACCAGCCCTGACTGTGGACTTCTGGCCTCCAGAGCTGGGAGGCAGTTTCCGCTGTTAGCCCACCCGGCCCCCCGACTGCGCGCTGCGTCCCGGCAG